GGGAACACTGGTTCCCAAACAGTGCCACTGTACTTAGTTCCATGGCCAGAAGAGAACTGCTAGGCAGGGAATGATTATTTTGCAAAAGCAACTGCAATGTGGTCATAGCTGGCTGTGAGACGTGCAGCCTCTTGCCTCATGCAAAGTTCCCTGTTACACAGTCGGAGAACCACTGCATGTGTGATTGTCAAATGCTAATGCTGTCATGGGTCCCTTCCTTCTCTACTTGGTTCTGGAGCTCTCCAATAAAACCAATTTCCTGGGAATACTTGATCTTTTTCCTTGTCTCTTTTCAAGGTATGGCTATATATAGAGAGATATAGACATATATAGATATATATATATATATATAACATAGCTATTCATATTTATATACAGGCATTAATAAAGTGCAAATGTTATTGGCTATTGTAAAAATTAATCTCATTTCCTGAGGAAGTGCTAACACAGCTTATCCTATGACAATGTCAAAGGCATAGAATGCTCGATGTCACCTACTCCCTGCTGCTGTTGTTTCTGCTTATCCCCACAGCTTACAGGGAGGGGTGACCCCTTGGTTTTCCAGGAAGCATCAGTTCAGCGGCAGCTTCCTGCTGCCTCTGTTCTTTGGTGAGAGGGGCAGTCTCTTTGGACATGGCCCAGCCTGCCCCAGAAGAGCTATTTGGTAGTGTTTAGGGAGCCGTCTTCAGGAATCTTCTCCTCGGAGCAGCTCCTCCCCGAGAGCCTGTCCAGGTGCTCCAGCTCACTGAAGCGTTCTGCCACACACTGGGCTGTGAGGCGGGCCTCTGGGTCGTGGTCCCAGCACTCAGTCAACGTCTCACACACCATCTGGATGCCCTGTAGTGGGAAAGAGATCCAAAGGGCACCATTAGTTGGTGGGCTCCGCGGAAGGCAAAGTGGCTTGCTGACCTGTTGCTATAGTGAGTGCAAGCAGGGTTCAAAAGTACCTGTGCATTTAACATGCGCTGACTGAGTGCCCGCCGATGGGGGCCAGCCAGTTCCATGTGGAAAGTGGAGATTGTGCTGGGGGCGGCTGTGCTCGAAACCTACCATACTTTTTTGGCTCTGGTGCTATCTGATCACAATAGGTCCTGACAGCACAATGATCCTCTGCTGGGCTTCTGGGGTACACTAACACTCCCAACACCTGAAAATTCCCCATGCAGTGGCCCCTAATACCATTTTAACGCCTTTCTATTTAGAGAAGTTCTTGGTTCACAGCAAAATTGAGTGGAAAGTACAGAGAGTTTTCACAAAAACCCCTTCCCCATACAGGCACAGCCTTCTCCACCTCGGTATCATCCGTCTGTGTGCTACATTTGTTCGAACTGATGAACTAACACTGACACATCATTATCAATCAAATGCATAGTTTACATTAGGGTTCACTCTCGGTGTTGTATATTCTATGGGTTTTGACAAATGTATAAAGACAGGTATCGACCATTATAGTATCATGCAGAATAGTTTCTCTGCCCCTCAAATCGCCTGCATTCCACTTACTCGTCCCTCCCTCCATTCCCCTACATTTCTGGCAGCCACTGATCTTTTACTGTCTCTGTAGTTTTTGCCTTTTCCGGAGTGTCATATAGCTGGGTCATATATACACTGTTCTATTTTAACAGGGCTGATTACCCCAGTCAGAGTTGTATGCAGGCATTAGCGTGGTTTCATTTTCCACAGGCCACACATTTGGTAGAGTGATTCAGTAGCAGCTTCTACGAGCTGCCAAGGATGACCTCTGGGATGCCCCATTCCTCTCCAACAACATAAGGTTGGACCCTGTGAAACAGCTGCCTTTGAGGGTCAGGCATGCTTAACTCTGCCATTTCACAGGGTTCACCCTAACTGAACCAAGGCCCCATCCAAGGAGCCCATCCAGAAGATCCTGCCCAGGAAGGTGGCAAGAGTTTTCTCTCACTGGCTTAATTTTTATTTCGCATTGCAAGTATTTTTGGTATCATTTCAAATCCTTTTTGGAAATAAAGCAGGCAGGAGTTAAGCAAATGGTCTGATAGGTGGAAATAGAGCGTGCTCCTCCCAATTATAAGATCAACATTGCTAATGGGGATCCACCACACAGGTGGCTGGGAGTGGGATGGATACATCTCCAACCTACCTGGGAGAGCTGGCACTTTCTCTACTTGCTTTCTAATACGAACAACTTTCCAAACACACCTAGGAACCTCTCTCTTTCCCTCCTGACACCATGAGTTCATGATGTTAAATTAATTGCATAATTCGCCTAATTGACAGCATTGACAGATGGCCCTGTTAAGAGTAGAGTACTATTGTTGGTACACAAGTAACATATTCATTTTATTCTGGCACTGTAATTACAGGCAGTAAATTAAATTAAATATTAGGCATTAACTTGAAATCAATAGGGGCAAAAATCTCATTATGAGAAAAATTGTATTATGCAATTCTTTTCAGGAATTTTATCATCATGAATAATGGCTTCATTACCGAGAACTATACAGCAGAGGAGGGCAACAGAGTTTGGAAGAAAATAACACTCCAGATACATTCTGATTTCAGAATTTATGCAAAACATTCTTACAGTTTTTAGTGTCAAAGAGGATTTTTGCCCCAAAACTCCAGCGAAGCCCGTGACCCAACAGCCTGGTTTCACCCCCGCCCTCCTCCTTTATGAAGGACTTTATTAAAGGTCTGTCTGCTGAAGTGGCTCTGCGCCAGACTGGCACAGACCAGGCTTTCCTGCTCCATTTGTCTTCCCGATTGTGCTGATTTGTTGTTTCTGTTTTCTTATCTGAATTTGCCTTGCCCTTAGGGAAACCTCAACTTAGCCTCAGCCTTCATGGTTGAGGGAATTCATCCAAAAGAGGCATAAAAGGTTTAGTCAGTAGAAAGAACAGTTTTCTCAGTGAGATGAGGGTCACACAGTTCTCTCCCATTCTTCACTAAGGGGCTCCTTTCTGGGTATGTCAGACATATGGCTGGTTCTGACTCACTCACAACTTATTGTTTTTTTTTTTCTTGACCATTGCCCTCGTCAAAGTGCCCCCACACAAACAATCTGGATCAGCCTCCTTTATATAGTCCAGAACGACTGCCCTGCTATGGACAGCCTTTAGCTACCATTTCTTAACAAGAAAAAAGTAAGGGGCCATTAGGCATGTTCCAACAGACAGATTTCTCGTTCCTTCCTGGGCATACTCCTCTTCTTTTGCTTTCCTTAATTCCAGAGTGAGGAGTCAGTCTTCTTTCCCATGGTGACTCACTCAGACCTCTCCCAAGTCTGTGAGCACAGTTCTGCAAACACCTGTACAGCCCGCTGCATGCCACAGTCCACTTCTCAGTACAGTTGCCTGACAAACCTGCTTGGTTTGGCACGTGCTAAGTAATTTCCTTATGGAAACTGGAGATTCCCAGAAGAAAACATTTGGAATTCCCAGAGGAGAAATGTTAAATTGTAACTCCTGACGTGAAGGCCCAGGAGTTAAGTTAGCAAAGGCTGCAAACAAAATGTTTTAAACCCAGGACCAGGGGGGCTTGGAAAATGTGACAAATGCCCCTCCAAATGTCTATTCGTGAGCTCTCAGAGTAATATATCAGGTGGTTGGAACGTACTAATAATTGGGTCATCTCTTTATTTGAAATTTTCTTTTACAAACAAAATTTAACCAGGGCATAGAACACAACGGGATCTTCCTCAGATTTAAGCTCATATTCCAGAATTTTCTGCACCTAAAGAGGCAAACTTTGGTTGAATCTTACTGACCTTTGTAAACACTCACTCCTTACCTGGTGGTTGAGCCAGAAGCTGGGAATTTCTGGTCGTCCTCGATCTCTCAACACGTTGTCCTTCATGCTTTCGACACAGGGGGTGCTCCCGCACCTTGGACCAAATGGAGGCTCATAATCTTTTACTTCTGTGAAGAAAAGCCAGCAACACAGGGTCACTGAGAATGGTGTGTGCAGCCAAAGAAATGAGCATGGTGAGATGCCTGACTGGGGAGCATGAAGGACTAAGTAACAATACCTCTGTGATTACTCTAGAGCAATATTTAATAATAATGGATTAAGATAAGAAGGAAGGAGTGGTTAGGGGAAGGGCTAGAGAAGTATTCAATAGATGATTGCTGAAAACTTAAAATGTGCTAGGTGTATGCTGGGGGACAGAGTGGACAACAAAATAGGAGGGTCACGGAGCTTACGTTTTAACACAGGCATTTCTCACAGGGTGATACGGCACCAAAGGGTGAAATTGGTTCTTGGGAAGTGGAAAATCTTATGTATTACAACAGTTTGTAAGCCTCCAAAGGCTCAGAGTATACAAAGAGATTTAAAATGTGGTATTAAATTTCATGCAGGTATTGAGGCATAAAAAGGAATGAAACTCTGGCAACATGCTACAACATGGATGAACCTTGAAGACATTATGCTAAGTGAAATAAGCTAGACACAAAAGGATAAATATTGTATGATTTCCTCTTATATGAAGTACCTTGAACAGGTATTCAGAGACAGTATAATGGTGGTTGTCCCAGGGGGCAACCTGGGAAGAAGGGGGTATGAGAAGTTATCTCTAAAGAATTTCAGTTGAGCAAATGAAAAAAGTTACAGAAAAATGATTAATGGTGATGGTTGTAGAGCACTGTGATGTACTTAATGCCAGTAAATTGCAACCCTTAAGACATGGTTAAGATGGTAAATTTATATTATGTCTATTTTGCTACAGAAAAACATCATGGAGAGTAGTGATTAGAAAAAAAGTTGTCTATAGGCCAGGTGCTGTGGCTCGTGTCTGTAATCCCAGTACTTTAGGAGGCTGAAGGAGGATTTCTTGAGTCCAGGAGTTTGGACCAACCTGGACAACATAGTGAGATCCTCTATCTATACAAAATAAAAAAAAAAAAACCAGCAAACAAAAAAAAGTTATTTAAAAAGGCTCCTTATGATATCATGATTTAAAAAAAGGTTGAGAAATGCTGTTTAGTGGGAAGACAAGGGACAGATTAACACGTTAACAACATTTTTAAAAAAGATTTTTTAAAATTTTAAAATTTAAAAATTTTCCTCAGATGGTATATTCAACAAAGAAAATGATAAGGAGGAGGTAACCCTTCACCAGGGCTTCAGGCTTCAACTAAGGTCAAATTCTTTATGAAAACTTCCTTGAACATCCTTAGATCGATCTTGGTTAATATCCTGGGCAGGGCTCTATTGTTGCATGTACCCTATTTTATTTAATATATTCACCGCTTATTTTTCTCACCTAACTGGACTGTGAGCATTTGGGTGGCAAGTTGAGTCCCTTTCTCATTCTTGCATTCTGGTGCCATTGAAGGGTATCCCATGCCAAAAGGCTGTCAACAGATGCTTTGTTGAGTGAGTGAATGAATGAATGAAGAATCTTAAGATTCTCTCCAAAGTGGCAGTGCATAAACTCTGGCCGAATATTAAAAACAAAACCACCAATTTAAATGAGCAGATTAATATAGTGTAAACAGAGCACAGGACAGTTAAAAGACAGAAAACATCGCAGTACTAAACATGTCTGGGCTGAAAGGAGAGACTGGGCTGAATTCAACACTTTTCTCCAAAGTAAGTTGGATCTTTGGCCTTTAGCTTCAAAATAATCTTATGTAATGAGTAAAAGTTTCAATAAATTTGCACTTTTAGGTAACGAAGAAGCTTTCATGGCAGGATGACATTTGAAAGGGATGGCTTGTTTTTGTTCTTTGTTTCATTTTTTTTTTCCCCCTTTTCCAGAACTCTGCTTGAATATTTATCTTTTTCAGCTTCACCCCAAACAGTAGAGCTGCCAGGACATTTTCTTTTTTATAGTTTTAAATACAGGGGAATGTGGGATGGAAGGCCTCCATCATATTAAGACAAACCACAACTATCCTCCTGTGTGTCAATGCTTTCGCCTTCAAGTGCCCAAGCACTTAATCCACACTGCTCTTGGATGAGATCCGAACTGTGATTTGCATAGTATTTACACTCTTATTTTTTTCTTTCATTCCCTATCTTCAACCAGACTGTAAATGCCTAAGGCACAAGGCAGTGGCTGAATTTGATGTCTTTCAGTTATCTGCTCAGTGCCTAAAACTGTGCCTTATACCTAGTAAGAATTTAATAAATATGAGGTGGGTTGAACTCAAGCAAAAGAGAAAACTGAGAATCAGATCTAGTTCCCAGTAAGTGTTTACTCTCACGTACTTCTTCTCTTCTATAAAATGAATAGACTGAACTGAGCTACCTCCTCTTCAGATTTATCTTGTAATCCAACCTAATCAAATGTGATGCCTCTTTGATACATACCATGAGATATATGTACTACCATATAATAGTAAAGGATAGGATTTGATATGATATAAATTGTTCTTTAGATAAGGTACAGTCCATAGACCTTCCATCTCAATTATTTTGGGCTTCTGTAGCAGTTGGAGTTGGTGCCTGCCGAGGTCCCCTTCACCAAGGTAGGGCCAGCAGCCCATAGTTGCCACAGGTGTTGGTTCATAAGGGCTCACACCTTCACCCTTTTCTGGGGGATTGCCCTTGGCCAATGGGAGTTGCCTATCCTGGAGATTCCTGGACATGACCGCCTTACTCTCAGAGGCAGCGATTAGCCAATGACAAATTAATGTTGAAGTTTAACAGTCCAATTCTCTTGGCTCTGGTGGGTAACTACGGTGCAATTCACGCTTTCCAGAGCTTTCTATGAGATCAGCTGAGTTAGACCTCTCTTGAACTACAAGTTCACTTAACTCCTTCATGCTTCTTCCTGCTTCTCTTACTTCTGTCTCGTGAGAGCTTATCCTCAATAAATCATTGCACAAAAGTGTGTCAGACTCCACTTCTAAGTAAAGCTGGTCCCGATACAGCTTTCTCCTCTCTCCTAGGCCTTTGCTCAGTGAATCTGCACCATCTGACTGTAGTTGCAAAGCTACCCTGGGGAAGCCTTGATGTAGCTCCTTCTTGTGAAGGTGAATTACTAAACCAGGAAGAACATTCTGAATCTCACTTGTATTCTGTTACTCTGATGAAACTCCTTTGCCTTTCCAGGAAGCTTTCATGCTTTTTCCTTTCTACGAAGCATTCAGAGAGTTCTTTCTCCTCTGACTATCAACAACAATCCCTATACTCATGGTCAGAAGTGACAGAGGAGGACATAACGAACACCAGAGGAGGAAAATGTTGAGATCAGAATAGACCCCAGCTGTCAATCTCATGGCTGACAGTCCTTGAGAACAAAGAAAAGTCTTTGTCCTTGAGACTAGAACCCAGAGCCAATTCCTTTCAAGTCCTAATCTTCCAAGTTACATAAACTATAGAATTTATTGTAATTTTTTATAGGTACTCTGTGGATCAAAGCAAGTTTCCATGGGGAATGAGAGAAGATGGCACTAGGCGTATTTTACTTAGAGAACAATTAATGAATGCTATTTTAGAAGGAAGACAAAGGCAATAATCCCTTCCCAGAACGAAGAGACTTATAAATAGTTACTTCCTATTTTCCTAAATCTTGGAAGTTGTGAGATTCCCTAATATTCCCCAAGGGATACAAGGCCTGCTTCCCATCTTTGAGTTATGGGTAAATTTCACAAGGAAGGGAGGTCATGGGTAGTCTGAGAGGTGCTGGCAAAGGACTGGCTCCTTGTGCCCCACTGAGAGAATTTATGGCTCTTCTGATTCCTCCTAAGCTTAAAATAGACAAGTCTGGTGAGGACGATCATCATTTGACCCAAACTGTCATACTCTAATCCTTTATTATTAGTTTTTCAGATTAGGAGTAGGGATGGGGATATGCAGTGTGTGCATGATTTAGGCTGACCTTTCTTTAACTTCTGAAAAATGTCCTATTTGTGTAATATAGATTTACCAAAACAGCTAAACGCATGTTTGCTTTTTTCTTTCTAATTATGGATTTTTTCAATTCTTCTTTCTTTACCCTTCTCTCTCATTTTGGACATCCTACTCCTAAGCCCCATTTTTTTTTCTCATGTCCTGCAATGTGTAGGAAGACGGTTTAATGTTTAGCAGTGTGTATACATGTGGCTCTCAGTTAACAACTTTGATATTCAATTGCAGTGATCAGGCAACGTTGCTCGTTTTTCCTTCTATGGCCATTCAAGGCAATGCCATTCTCAGGGCCTCCATTAGGACTGGTAGGATGACCATGTAACATGGAGGCCATTCCCTCCTGGAGGGCATTTCTTAATTGTTCCTCAGTTCTAAGTGTCCCTCAGAATGCCTCGGATATTTGCTTTGACTCAGCAGAAGAAGGGGGAGAGGGTGGCCAGAGCCAGCCTGAACCCTGTGAGAGGAGGGAGAAAGCAGAAAGTCCTCTGTCAGTCAGGTGGGTACCAATGGTCTTTCCTAGGATGAGACCTCCTGTAACAGAACCCAGGCAGTCCTGGGGAACTGGACAGAGCTGGTGATTGGCAACGAGTTGATGGCCTGAGACCTTGGACACTCCAACTTTTTCCCCAGGGTTTCAGGCAGCTGGGACTGGGATGTTTAATCCACTCTGGCAAATGAGCACTTCTCAATCTATTTTTTATAAAAGCCCAGATGTTTTGCCCTCACTTCATTGGGAATAAAGGCTTTGGTAAAATACAGTAGAAATGAATTACAAGAAAAATGAATCCCACTTGAGTGTTGTGGCAACATCAAACTGCTATTAAAGGTACTAAACACATCTTGGTTTCTGTCCTTATATTGCAAATCTGAAACAGAGAGTTTGAGGACCAGCACCTTCCAAAGACCACATGTGGGGCAACATTGCTTTAAATGCTTCCTAAGAAATGTGAGATGCATTTTGACACAGGAGAAATGAATACAAGTTATTAAATGTATTTTAAGGGTTTCAAATGAGTCAGAGAAAGATTACTGAAAAAGTCTTCAAAGACGGGATCCAACA